TTTTTTTTGTGTGTATTTTTTTTGTTGATTTTCTTCCCAATGTTTTTTTTATCCTGGTTTTTTTTAGTGCAGAGGTCCATGATCTTTTTTTTTATAGATTTTTTTTAATATTTATATACTTTTTATAATATATATATATATGTAAAATAGTTAATAACAGAGCTCCTAAACCAGAGTAAATTTTTACATTTGCAGGAGAAGTCACTGTCGATCCTCTAGGACCTGAATGGTAACTCTTGCCATGAAATACATATGAGGGGCCAGAATAATTTCAAAATTATTGTTAAGTGGCATTTTTTTGTTTTATCAACAAAATACAGAAGACAAGTTGTCACATAATTCTCACACACCCCAACTCATAACAGAGAAAAGTTGCACTATCTGAAAACTGAAGGCTGTCTTTTTTTTACAGTTGCATAGATCTGTGCTTATCTTACCAAACTAATTTTCTCTTAGAGAAATAGCTGCTGTGTTACCTTCCAAATGGAAGGATCAGTGATGATTAACACACAAAAATTAACATTAAAATGGGACTTATTATTTGATATTGTTGGTTCCACGACAACGCAGAATGAGTCGATGTTTTTACTGGAGCCTTCATAGTGAAATTAACTAAAAATGTATTTTATCCACACCTAAACGTCATTTTAGCAGCCTTTCTTTGATAGATGATGGCTAAAGCCACCCCAAAACTGCAGCTGAATTATCTGGTCTCTAATGACTCCAAACCCATTACGGGATGCAGAGCAATCTCGTTAAATTTTATTCCAAAGCTTACTACACTGGTGTTTTCTCTTATTTTTCTATCAATGAAGCCCAGGAGGTTTAAGGACAATTCATTATGTATGAGACCCAACTTACAGTGCTTGACTGTTGATTAATAGCAAAGTTTGCTGGGTGTACATTTGCAGCATTAGATGCATACAATATGCTAACTTATTCTTGCACCCAAGCTAATTATTTACCAAAATGACTACTTGAGACTACAATTTATTAAATGCATGCATCCAGTCTCGATTTGGCCCCAAAAGACATCCTGGAATGAAGATCTTTTACTTGATGTGACAACTTCTGGAAACAGTGTTATTAATATTGTAAATGTGGCAAATAAAGAGTTCAAATAGCC